AGTGATGTACATGGGGGGGGGGTTCTTGGCGCAGAACTCAGCAGGAAGGGCGGCGCTGTAGCGAGTATCACTAGTGCGGAGGTGCGTAATGAGGTCAGCGACAGTGGGAAAGGCAGCAAGGTCAGGAAAGAGGTACGGTAGCATGAGGCGGCTCAGGGCAGCAGTGGCAGGGGAAGAGTAGCGCGCAACTACAGCGTCGTACAAGGTCTGAGCACTCTGTACTGACTAAAGTGCGCTGCGCTCAGTGGTAGGCAGGTGGCGACGCACAGCAAGACGTGCAGCAGCATCGCGGGTGGCCCACTGAGAGCGAACAGTGGGGTCAGCATCAGCAGCAGGGGCAGGAGAGGCGCCAGAGGTGAGGTCAAAGAGGGAAAGACCGTCCGCCCTATCGCACTGTAAGAACAGCTGCAGGTCGTCGACCCAGACCTCAAAGTCAATGGCTCGACCCTCAGCGTCAAAAGCGAGGACACTAGGGGTAGCCATGACGACGACAGTGTAGTAGTGCAAGCAGTAGGGGAAGGGCACGCAGTAACAGTGGTGCTGTGCTCACCAGGCAGGGCAGGTCGGGCGGCTCGGCAGTAGGGCGGCCCCGGCCAGCTGGGCGGCTCGGCGGCTCGGCTGCTGGGCGGCTCGGCTCCCGGGCGGCTCGGCGGCAGGGCGGCTCGACGGAAGGGCGGCTCGGCGGCAGGGCGGCTCGGCGGCTCGGCTCCCGGGCGGCTCGGCGGCAGGGCGGCTCGGCGGCAGGCGGCTCGGCTCCCGGGCGGCTCGGCTGCAGGGCGGCTCGTCGGCTGGGCGGCTCGGCTGCTCTGCTGCTGGGGGGCGAGCTCGGCTGCGCTGCTGGCTGGGGCGGCTCGGCCGCTGTAGAGGAGTGGCGGGGCCGCTGCAGAGAAGGGCGGCGGGCCGCTTGATAGGGCGGCGGGGCCGCTGATGGGGCGGCGGGGCCGCGAGGAAGGGCGGCGGGGCCGCGCGATGGGGCGGCGGGGCCGCGAGGAAGGGCGGCGGGGCCGCTAGATAGGGCGGCGGGGCCGCGCGATAGGGCGGCGGGGCCGCGAGGAAGGGCGGCGGGGCCGCTAGGTTGGGGCGGCGGGGCTTCGCGATGGGGCGGCGGAGGCCGCGAGGTAGAGCGGGGGGGGCAGCGCAATGGGGCGGCGAGGCCGCGAGTAAGGGCGGCGGGGCCGCTAGGTAGGGCGGCGGGGCCGCGCAGTAGGGCGGCGAGGCCGCGGAGGTAGGGCAGCGGGGCCGCTAGGTAGGGCGGCGGGTCCGCTAGGAGAGAGGCGGCGGGGCCGCGAAGACGGGGCGGCGGGGCCGCTGAGACCGAGTGGCGGGGCCGCAGTGAAGGGCCGCAAGGGCGGCTCGACGAAGTGAGGGCCCGGAGCCGCGACTCGGGCTGAGCGCGCTTCGGGCAGGAAAAAAAAATTCTCCCCATCATCGATAGAGGCATTAGAAACCCCTGAAATGGCGGTGCCGGTACCAGGATCTGTAACGCCAAGGGTGGATTCCAGCATGGCCCGGGCAGACTCTGAAACGGAGTTGGCGGATTCCAGAATGTTGCCGGAAGGTGCTGTGGTGCCGGTGGTGCCGGTGGCAGGTGGTGAGGTTTCTGCAGCACAGGCAGGGCGAGAGAGAGGGAGAGAGGGCAGGTGAGCTCGTGGGTCCATCCAGTCAGGGTAGCGTTCAGTGAGGGTGAGGGTGAGAGTGAGAGATAGAGATAGAGATAGAGATAGATATATATATATATATATATACAGAGAGAGAGAGAGAGAGAGGAGAGAGAGAGAGAGAGAGAGAGAGAGAGAGAGAGAGGAGAGAGTGCGATAGAGAGGAAGAGGAGTTTGCGGTGAGCGGAATGGAGGAGGGGCAAGGCAAGAGGGGACGCACCAGTGAGGCAGAGGGCGGACGTCACTACACCGGGAACATACTTGACACTGCACACAGGGGGAGGGAGGGCGCCACGAGTGCGCGGGTCGTTGGTCAGGTGGGGGAGCAACCGAGCGGCGTTAAGAGCAAGGCGAGCATGGGAGCAAGGCGAGCATGGGAGCAAGGCGAGCATGGGAGCAAGGCGAGCATGGGAGCAAGGCGAGCATGGGAGCAAGGCGAGCATGGGAGCAAGGCGAGCATGGGAGCAAGGCGAGCATGCAAGGCAGCATGGAAGCAAGGCGAGCACGAATAGAAGGCGTGCCGCGCACCTCTGTGCGCCCATGATGGGGAGAAGGTCCAGCGTCTGGTGGGGAACAACCGAACGGCGTTCAAAGCATGGAAGCAATGCTGAGCAGGGATAAAAGGCGCACCTCTGTGTGCCGATGATGGGGAGAAGGTCCAGCGTCTGGCCTGTGCACGCGGGATCCTGGAAGAACCGGATTGCGCGGCACGTAGCAGCGTTGCCAGCATCGCTTCCCTGCTGTCGAGAGACTTCCACGCGAGCCTTGACTGCACCCGGCATGGCGGGGATGTTGACACAGCGGCGCGACTCGAAGCTAAAAGGACGGCCGTTGATAGTCATCTGCGTGGCAATCCTCGCTGGGGCCGATGGGATTTCCGCTGCGAGCGACGGCTGCGGGAGACACGCTGCAAGAGAGGGAGGGACACGTGGCATGGGAGGGTCACGGAGGCATGGGCGTGTTCATTGGAAATGCATTGCGTGCGCATGAGAGCACTGTGGTGTGGTCCGTGGCGCATGAGAGCATGGAACTGAACGCATTGCGGCGTGGACTCGATGATGCGCATGGAGCACGCACGCACGACGACGGCGAGAGAGAGCGGAGCGAATGACGGAGCGTACCGGCGATGACGGCGACGATGGCGAGCAGCGCACGCACGGCCTTGCCATTCCCATGCTGCCGCTTCTCCGGTGGACGGATGGTGCTCAAGCTTCACCCTTGAACGACACGAGTAATTCCAATAGCTCGAGTAGTAGCAGATGTGCAGCGGAGCAACTCCGACGGGAAGAGGTGCTAGATGAATGATTGGTGCTACTAGTGATTGGTAAAGCGGAAGAGGTGACGAGGCCGATCGGGCACGGGTGCTTAAGATGGGCATCGCAGCGAGCCCTACTAGCGTGCGGCGCATCATCCGCTCCACGGAGCTTCTGCGCGACGAGGGGCCTCTGTGATGGGAAGCAGCTCCCGACGGGCGCGGCAAGGCCTTGGCCATGTGCGACCGCTGCGACAGGAGTCGCTGCAGGGAACGCGTTTCTTTAGTCGCCAGCGCGCCTTGGAATAAGCGTTTCCTGAGGTGTGTGCGAAGGTGACAACGCTGGCGAAAACAGAAATGGAAATGGATTTATTGGACATAATTATTGAAGTCGAAAATGTTAGGTCTCTCCGCAACACTTAGGATCCACATTCAATGTCAGCACAATGTTTGCTAAAAAATGGGGGAGTGGAACGAGGGTCGTGCTCGGCAAAATTATTGTGGACACCAGGACGGAAGGGCCCATTCCCGCTGACTTCGGATCTTGTAAAGACCCCCATTCACAACAATAATTCCGATGTGATGCCAGACAAGCGTTCTGTTCTGAGGGCGCGGGACACACAAACACAAGTGACGCGACGCGAGGCAATCGAATGTCTCCGATATGGACAGTCTCTATCGCAAGAATCTGACAAACAACAATTGCTGGTGATTCCCTTGCATGCAAGCCACTAATGGTGACTTCGCCAAAATATCGCCAAGATCGCTTATTGGTTCAAATACAAACAAGGTTAGAATGTTGTGTAATGATATAATCTGGTATAGCTACGAACAGCAAATTGAAAATGGCTGATCACGCTCCTAAGTGATGGTGCTGGACAGTAGTGAAAACTAGAGTGAATTGATGGAAGCCACCAGAAACAAAGGTCAAAAGCAGGGTCATCTCTATGATTTGAAACCACATGTGTAGAATTGCAACAAGATCCAGAAACAAATATTTAGATGGGTAAAACAAAGATTACAACAAACCTAGAAAAGAGAAAACAAGGGGAGAAGTGGGGGTGCGAACAGGAGAAATCTAACCAGCCCGGACAGGGAGGGTCTGATAACACGCAGTGCTGCTATGATACCAGATTGGTTGCTTCTATTCTTCTTGAGAACTTGCCAGCTATCCTGCCTGGCACCTGCTCAACGACCTTCCCGAGAACAGTTCACCAACTAACTCTCCAACCTGTCTGAGAAGCACAGCAACAGCAACCAATCCCTGTCCCTACGCAATACGTCCCTCAACTCTTCTCAGATGTGGCGACTGATTTGGCTTGGCGCAAGTAGAGGAATAGGATGGTACGGAGTTGCCACCGCTGGAAGGTTCTGGAGTTTAGTTGGGAGATTCTGACGTGTAGATAGGAGAATCTGACGCGTTGCTGGAAGAGTCTGAAACGTAGCTAGGAGGAATTTCTGACACGTAGTTGGAAGGTCCTGAAACGTTGCTGGAAGAATCTGAAATGTCGCTTGAAGATTCTGCAATGTTGCTGGAAGATTCTGAAGCGTCGCTTGAAGGTGTTGTGGTGGACGAAGCTGTGGTGGTGCCGGACGGGGTTGAGGTGGTGCCGGACGGGGTTGTGGAGGTGCCGGACGGGGTTGTGGTGGTGCCGGACGGGTTGTGGTGGTGCCGGACGGGGTTGTGGTGGTGCCGGACGGGGTTGTGGTGGTGCCGGACGGGGTTGTGGTGGTGCCAGGTTTTGCTGCTGGCACACAGGTGGCACCGACTGCATTGTAGCCCGCCTTACACTTGCACTCCATTCCAGTGCCACTGGTGCGTTTGGCACACTCGGAGTTGGCAGGGCAGCCTGCAGTGAGGCACGAGGGTCTGCAGCAGAGGCAAGGAGAGAGAGAGAGGGAGGCCAGGTGAGCACATGGGTCCATCCGGACAAGGAAGCATTCAGAGAGAGCAGAGCAGGCCGAGGGAGGGCGGAGGAGGAGAGAGTTGCGGCAACGAGACCATGCTGAGCGGAGCGAAACCATACGAAGCTCACTGGGAGGCTGGCATTTGTTGTTGACCGCGCTGTAGCCTTTCTTGCACGCGCACGTCACTGCCGTGCGGTCGTCCGTGGGTGGGGTGCATGTGTCAGAGCCGGCAGGGCAGCGCGCATACCGACACATGTTGTCTGCCGCACAGCGCCGTGCGGACCCGGGGGAAAGGGGGGAACCGGGGAAGGGGGGAAAAGGGGGAAGGCGAATGCAGAGATGAGGCGCGGCAGCCTGCCACCACCACTCGCCGTCGTGCGCTCTGCAGCGCAGCGAACTGGACTGTGCAGTGAGAGCGCGAGGGCCAGCGAGAGAGAGAGAGAGGGCGGGCTTCTCGCGAGAGGCGGGCGCGAGAGAGGGGCAAGAGGGGACGCACGCACCTACGAGGCAGAGGGCGGACCTTGCTGCACCGGAGATGCGCTTCTCACTGCACACAGGGGAGGGAGGGCGCCACGAGTGCAACGATCGTTGATCAGGTGGGGGAGCAAACGAGCGGCATCAAGAGCATAGGAGCATGGAAGCAAGGCGAGCAAGAATGGAAGGCGCACCTCTGTTGGCCATTCACGAAAACGTCCAAACGTCTGTCCTTTGCACGCGGGATCCTGGAAGAACCAGATCGCGCGGCACATAGCCTTGCCAGACATGCTCGCCTGCTGCCACGGCACCACCACCCGCGCCTTCTGAGACGGCGACATGGCGGGAAGGTTGACACAGCGGCGCGGCGAGAATTTGAATGTGCGCCCGTTGATTGTCATCGGCGTGCCTATCGGCACTGGGACCGACACGCTCGCTGCTGCTGCTGCTTGCGACGGCTGGGGGAGACACGCTGCAAGGGAGCGGCATGTGGCATGGGAGGGGCACGGACGAAGGAGCGAGTTCGTTGGGCATCCATCGCGTGTGCGCGCTGTCGAGTGGTGCATTGAACGCATGACGGCGTGAGCACGATGGCGCATGAGAGCGCGGGGCGAGAGAGCGGAGCGAATGACGGAGCGTACCGGCGATGACGGCGACGATGGCGAGCAGCGCACGCACGGCTTGCCATTCCCCATGCTGCTGATTCCGGCGGACGCCATTCGCTCTTCGACCTTGATCGCCACGAGCAATCCGAGAGCAGGAGTGGAGCAGGAGTGTGCAGCGGAGCAACCCGAGAGAAAGAGGTGACGAGAACGATCGGAGTAGAGCAGGAGTGTGCAGCGGAGCAACCCGAGAGAAAGAGGTGCTAGAGGAGTGATTGGTGCTAACTGGTGTAAAGCAGAAGAGGTGACGAGAACGATCGGGCACGGATGCTTAAATGCTCATCGCAGCGAGCCTACTAGCGTGCGGCGCATCATCCGCTCCACGGAGCTCCTGTGCGAGGCTGGAGGGACCTCTGTGGCGGGACGCAGCCCGCGACGGGCGCGGCAAAGCCTTGGCCATGTGCGACCGCTGCGACAGGAGCTGCTGCAGGGAACGCGTTGCTTTAGGCGCCATCGTGGGCTTCGATTGGGCGTTTCCTGGCTGTGTGCGAAAGCAAAAACGACTGGGATGAAGAATCGCGTCACAAGGATTTATTGGAGGAAAAGTCAGACACCTCACAGTAAGGCCCATTCATTGTCATGTCACCATCTAAGGTCCGGATGATGGCGACATCGCCAAAATTCTGCCAGTCCTCTCACGAGCATTTGCGAAACCCGAACCATACTGACGTCCGGACCCTGGCTCGGTTCGGATGGGATGGTCTGGGGGTGTTCCCACCCCTCGGACCCAAGTTCACCCCGCACAAATGGGAGTGTTGTGAGGAGGAACGCGTTGGAGTGGCTTGGTTCGTGGAGAAGTGAAGAGGAATGGAATGTTGGCAAAGAAAAGTTTAGCCCATGAACGGTGTTGTACGCGGTGGAATCAGATGTGTAAAACTGAAAAAACGCCTTACATATGGGCTCAATACATCATTACAAGCACTCCATAAAACACACCGGATTCTGAAGGATCACACCACGGCGAGGATTGTAACAGCTCTATCGGGTCCATCACACACCACGAAAGCCTTACCTGCAATGCTTTCCGCCTTTTCCGCCATCTGGCGGCCATGGATTCTGACGAGCTTGAACAAGTCAACGTCCTCGCTACAATGCACGCCGAGTTCTGATCTTCATTAACAGTATCGTCTTAACATTCGAAATGGAAGTCTGGTAATTTATGCTGACCTCGGTCTCTCCAGTTATCAGGCAACAAGCATCAGGCTCAGCCATGCAATTCCCAAGGCCGTGTTACCTTCAAGTTCATTACCATGTTAATTTCAGCGTATCGTCAACTTCCATTGTCGGTTGTATCTCCGACCATTATTAAAGCCCGTAGCTAAAATGGTGACCCCCTCGTTCTAGTTGGGTCCAACTTGATTACTCAAGTTTTTTGCATTGTTTTGGAAAGTTATAAGTTACGGTATGTGTTTTTCGTTTTTCAGCCATCAGACGAGTTCCGAAGTGAACCACTGTTACGAGTGCAATTAAGTGATCGAACGAGAATTGCACTATCGAAGCAAGAGTACAATGAGCGAAGGCATGAGCGAAGAATATATAGCGAATCTACAGTGGTAACGGTAATGAACTGTGGTTGACGCGCGACGGGCCTGGAACTGAGGTTGGGAAAATGTCGAGGCGGAGGCCCGGAGCGCGGTTACCGGCCGAGCCGTAAGGTCGGGGTGCGACGTGCGAAGGTGGCAGGAGGATTGTCGATGCGAGGGTTGCGGGTGTGTAACGGTGCTGACTGGGTACTACAGTGGTGTACGCGCTGAGCAGGGACGCGAAGTAAGGAAAAGGAATTTTCCTTACACTACCCCCCCCCCCTTAAGAGGCCCTCTTTTATGAAAGTGCGTGTACATCCCGAAAATTTCGGCTGCGCAGATAACTCGGTGAGGACGGGGTGGTTGTCGATTTTGTCCAGGGGAACCCAGTTGTCTTCGGTGGGTGTACGGTCTCTCTAGCGGATCAGGAATTCGATCCTTTGAGCTCCTCGTGGGTCACAAACTCGGTGGCTCAAAATCTCTTTGGGTGTGATGATGGCTCGGTCGGCGGTCGTGTCATGCTGGCTGGGCGGTTGCGGGGCAGTTGGCTGGTGGATGGTACGTAGGGCGTGAGGGCGGAGCAGAGGACGTGGAAGGACGGGCTGACGTACCAGTCAGCAGGGAGGAGGAGATGGGCGGTGACGGATGTAATCATGTGGCTGATGCGGAATGGCCCACAATATCGAGGGCGGAGTTTTGGAGTAATGGGTAGGCGGAGGTTATGGGTGTCGAGTAAGACTAGGTCGTCGGGCGGTAAGTGACAGGTCGGCGGTGGCGGTCGGCGTTGCGTTTAGCGATGATGTTCGATTTTTTAATTGCGTCCACCGCTCGGGTCCGTGCTGCTTGTAATATTTCGTCGAACTGTTGTGCTCGTGGCACTGGGTTGTTGGGATTCGGGGTCATGGGTACTGTTGGGTCTTGTCCGTAATTCATGTAAAATGGTGACTGTTGGGTCGTGGCGGAAGGCGAGTTGTTGTACGCGAACTCGATGAGTGGCAGCTGTTGTTCCTAGGTGGTTGGGTCGTCGCATGGGCTCGGATGAGTTGCTCCCATGGTCTGATTTGTTCTTTCTGTCTGTCCGTCGGTTTGGGGTGGTACGAAGAACTGAACTGTAGTCGCGTGCCGAAACTGCTGCCACAGGTTCCGCCAGAAGTTGCTAGTGAATTCGTGTCTCCGTCGCTGATGATCGCTGCTGGTATCCCGTGCAGTCGAACGACGGTGGTGATGAATAGGCGAGCTGTTTCTTCGGCTTGTGATTGATTTCTTGCAGGCTGCGAAGTGTGCCATTTTCGTTAGTCGATCGACGACGACCAGGATCGCGTCGTTCCCACTCGCTCCGGCCAGTAACCCCGTGACGAAGTCCATCGTCACCTACTGCCAAGCATGCTCTGGGGGTGGTATCGGCTGCAACTGTCCTGCCGGCCGCTTCCGTGATGACTTCATGATCTGTCAAGTGGGACATGATGCCACGTGTCGTTGAACGTCGGTCAACATTTCGGGCCAGTAAGAATACCCCTGCAGCTGCTGCCGTGTTTTTTATACCCCGAAATGCCCCGAGGTAACTCCGTCGTATGCTTCCTGTAATAGTAATTCCCGTAGCAGTGTATACCCTGGTACCCAGATGCGGTCGGTCCCGGCTTTTACGTAATAGACTCCCTTTGCTGCTACAAACTGCTGCGAATTTCCTCCTGTGATGAATGGATCCGTTTGGTACCCGTGGGTAAGTAGGCCTGTCAGTAGTGGGCTGGTCTGGGCAAGTAGTATTGCGTGGAGCTGGGCAGTGGGGCGGGTCAGTGCGTCGGCGATGTTCAATGCCCTTTTTTGTAGGTAACTGTATAGTGGAAGTTTGACTCGAGGAAATCGACCCAGCGAATCTGTCGTGGGTTGAGGTGTGGCTGTGCGGGCGGAGGTACTGTAGTGATTTATGGTCTGTCCGTACTGTCACGTCTGTGCCGGTCAAGTAACAGCGCCACACTTTGAATGCGTGCACGATCGCAAGCATTTCGCGGTCGTGTATCGGGTAATTTTTCTAGGGCGGATGCACTTTTCGTGACTCGTATGCGATGGGCTGTAGGCCGTTGCCGAAATCCTGTAGCAGTACTGCTCCGATGGCGATGTCGCTTGCGTCTGTAATACTTCGAATGGCGGTGTGGGTCGGCGATGCGTAGCACGGGCGGTGAACAGAGAATATTTTTCAGGGCAGAGAAGGCAGCATGCTCTTTCTCCCCCCACGTAAAAGCGACCCCCTTCCGTAGCAAGTCTGTCAGCGGCCACAGTTAACCGTGCCATGTCGGGGACGAACCGACGCACGTAATTGACGAACCCTAAAAAACTTTTGCAGTTCCTTGATATTCGCGGGGGGTGCCAAGCTTTTACCGTGTCCACTTCTTCGGGTCAATTTCTGTCAAACATTATATATGTTGTGTTAGTTTAGGCTACAGTGGGTTAGCCTATAGGGGGTACACAATTCTAGGGTTAGGTACTTGTACTCTTTTCATTGCTAGTTCATCCATTCCTGTTCAGTGATTTCAACATGGTATAGAGCAGGTCCTTCCTAGGACCGAAATTTTCTAAGGGCCCACCACTACGTCACTACCTACCTACCTACCTACCCGTGCCCTAGGGCGCCTCGGCGTGTCACGCCCCTAGAGGCCCCTCTTGACGGCCCCGCGCTAGCCCCGTTCAGGCCCCGTCGGCCCCTTTAAGGCCCCGTTCAGGCCCCGCGCTAGCCCCGTTTAGGCCCCGTCGGCCCCGTTTCAGGCCCCGTCGGCCCCACGCTAGCCCCTCTCAGGCCCCGTCGACCCGCGCTAGCCCCGTTTCAGGCCCGTCGGCCCCCTTTCAGGCCACGTCGGCCCAGCGCTAGCCCCGTTCAGGCCCCGTCGGCTCGCGCTAGCCCCGTTTCAGGCCCCGTCGGCCCCGTTTCAGGCCCCGTCGGCCCGCGCGCTAGCCCCTCTCAGGCCCCGTCGGCCCGCGCTAGCCCGTTTTCAGGCCCGTCGGCCCGCGCTAGCCCCGTTTCAGGCCCCGTAGGCCCCGCGCTAGCCCCTCTCAGGCCCCGTCGGCCCCGCGCTAGCCCCATTCAGGCCCCGATCAGGCCCGCGCTAGCCCCGTTTCAGGCCCCTTCGGCCCCGTTTCAGGCCCCGTCGGCCCCGCGCTAGCCCCGTTCAGGCCCCGTCGGCCCCTTGCTAACCCCGTCAAGGCCCCGTTTGGCCCCGCGCTAGCCCCGCTCAGGCTCCGATCGGCCCCGCGCTCGCCCCTCTAGGGCCCCAACCGGCCCCGTGCCTACCTCGCCGACCCGTGCCCACCACCCAGAGGCCCCGGGCGGCCCGTTCCCGCCGCAGCACAAGAGGGAGAGCGGGCGGCCCGTCCCCGCCATGACCTGAGCCGAGCCGCGCGCCCCGAGCCGAGCCGCGCCACCCAGCCGAGCCGCGACCCGACCTGAACCGAGCCGCGCCGCCCTGCCCTACCTGGTTCGCCTACCTGCTTCTCCTACCGCTACTGCTGCTATTTCTACTGTTCCTATGGCTAGCCCACAGG